AAAAAAAAAAAAAAAAAAAAAGAGTCTCTGCCCTGCGAACCGTTCGTGACAGTTCCCGCCATGCAGCTCTCCATCAGTGTCCCGTCTAGAATGCAGGAAAACAGCGCTGGAGGTGCTTGGCAGCTTCTTTGCAGAACAGAAGGAACTGTAGCCATAAGGCTATTCTTTTATTTAGTGAGACAGAAAAACATGATTGGAAACGGAAAAAATAAAAACAAGACAAAAAAAAAAAAAAAGTTAAGAAAACTGAAAAGACAAGCAAAACAAAACAAACCGTTTGATGAATTTCTTTTGTAGTGGTGGAGATTCTCCGGGCACTCTCTAGATTTTCGTTTTGGGATTCTAGACAGTGGTTTTCTACAGGGGAGGGGCTCCAGCCGATGAAGCGGGATTGGAGGCCTTGAGACCCCTGAATTTGCAGCTCCTTGACATTGTATTTTTGCCTTGGGCACTCTGGACCCTTAAATTAAAAAAAAAAAAAAGTGAAAAAAACAATAACGAATGGCAATCTGAAACAATAACGAATGGAAATCTGAAACAATAACGAATGGAAATCTGATCACAGGTGTATGGCACCCATCCATGTGCATGTAGCAAACCTGAATGTCCAGTGTGCTTCCCCGACATGCTATATGCAGGACCACGCTTTCCGTACTTGGCATTATATGAACCAGGTCCAGGCCCAGTGTCAGTCCTGTAAACCACTGTTTGATCAAAGGTCAAGCAGAGAGAGCAACATGTTGGGTGAGTGTTTTTTCCTTTTTTCTTTTTTTAACATTTTGGGTAAGTCACATAGATGTTTTAAGAGTATTCGCAAATACAAATGATGTACTGCAAAATTGGAAAAATCATCTCTCTGTTCTTTTTTCACTTCTTTTGTAACCTTCTTGAAGTGCAAGAATGTGTGATGCTGTCCCACGATACCACACCAAAAAACTGTTCGGGCCCAGTTGGGCCCGGTTTCCTAGGCTTCCCCCTCTCCCCCCTTTACATAAACAGGTCCTTATGGTGCTGGCTCCTTGTCCATCCTGGGGAGCGTCAGTGCGATTCCATTATAACGGCAAGAGTGAAAACTGAATACAAGATATACCCTCTCCGCTCTTCCCTCAGTCTGAGCCGAAGGGAGTGTCAGTGCAGTTCCATTCTAACGGCACGAGTGAAAACTGAATACAAGATATACCCTCTCCGTTCTACCCTCAGTCTGAGCCGACGGGAGCGTTGGTGCGGTTCCATTCTAACCACAATGGCTGGCGGCGCCAACCAAAAACGGGCCCAGTACACACCACAAAAGCCCATGTCCAAGAAAAAAATCACAGGAAAGAAAAGACCAAAAAGCAAAGAGGAAAAAGACAGACCAACTTCCGATACTCCTGCTATAACGTTGTTGTTTCTCCAGCCATCCCAAACTGTTACCAAACCCTCCTATATCGCCCTGCCACCCGCGCGGCTGGGGCCAGCCCCTGCAGGCCCCAAGTGGTGCACCCTGAATCGTGAGGAGGTGGGCGGGTATGCGGGGTCTCCGACCCCTGTCCCGCGGGTGGTGGGGTGTCACTGCTGGTCCATGAAGACATCAAGTGAGAAGTGCTGTGTTCGGGATATGTATTCGTCTCAGGCTTGGATCTCCGTTGTCATTCCTTCGCGGGGGTATGGTGAGCATTGCTCTGCAGGGGCTTTATCATGGAGGGCGGTAAAGTCTCCTTTGGGGAGTGGATTACCCTGAATGGCAAGGAGGTGGGTGGGTTTAGCAGGGGCATTGACCCCTGCTGCGCGGGTGGCAGGGTAATTTACTGGATTGCGAAAACAGCATTGTGATGGGAGTTGGTGTTTTTGGTGGCGGTGTGTGTGGGCTGGGGGGCTATTCGCTCTGAATCGCAAGAAGGCGGGTGGGTTTGCAGGGTCTGCAACTGAACAACGTTTGCCTCAGGGTCACATCGAAACTCTTTACCGTTTTTTTTTTTTTTTTTTTTTTTT